TTCAAAAGAAATTTCTTATTTGGACAGTAGGTGTCACCACATTCCATTTACAGAATTACAAATGTCACAGGCTGAAGGTAAAAGCAAGCCAAAAGATGTCTGGAAAAGGCAGGGTTGCTACTAAGGTACGGAAGCCTATTGATAAAGGAAATATGTACCCCACTCACTTTCCGTAACCCTTAAGTTACAATGAACACACATACAATCCATGCACAACATACACTTGATTTTTCTTTACATGTGTGTTGCATAATTTCCCTGTTACATTCAATGCATGCAGAGCTGAAAGTGTGATACAAACCTCACATTTATCCCATTAGTGGTCCCCAAATCTCCCTTCAAAATCAAAATCAAAATCTTGCTCTTTTACTTACAAAGATATGGGGAAATGTGCAAGTAGTTTCTTTTACCTAGTTGCCTCTCAAAGGATGGGAGCAAGAGGTCTTCAAGAAGGCCCAGAGCTGCTTCCTGTCCTGAATCAGTTAACCCTTTGCTGGCCATGCTTATATCAGATATACCTTCTCTCATAACATTCTATCCTATGCTGCTTTCCTGAGCTACATTTATGCCATTTGGGGGTTGGACCCTTTGCTTCAGGAAAAGATTAGGGCCACGGGAGGAAAAATGAGCACCCAGGTTTAGTCAGCTTGGAACTTAAATGGCTGATTGCAAGCCACCATGCTGTAACATGCCTGCATGCACAAAGGAATCAGTCTCCAGTCGCTTTCCTCCCCTCCCATCTGGAATTATAGGTAAAGAGCGGAAGGTGGCATAATGCCCAGATGGGTTTAATACCCCAGAATCTCTCACTGCAGAAAAAAAGAAGTATGCCTACACAGAGTCAAAAGGCCAAAGAACATCATATCCAAGTAGTCTTAAACTCCATCGCCTCTCATTACAGACAAAAAGTCTTCAGATGAATTCTAAGCATTTGAACAAGGAAAAACATGCTCCCAATGCCATGTTTGTAAAACAGGTGAAGGAAGTGCTCCTGCATCTGAACAGATTATCTTCCAGCCACTACGCAACAAGCATCTAGATTGTCGCATGTGTAAATCTGCTATCTGTAGTGTCTGTAACTCAAGTACTAGTTCAGTAAATCTAGTCTATATATGCACCCTGCTTTCCCAAGTAGCTTTGAATCCTAGTACTCCACATTCTTCCTCAGGTTTATTTCTCAAGACAGAAATAAGGGGTATCTCAGATGATTATAAACAGATCACTGCTGAATAGCTGATGGCATGCCACGCTACTGATGTTTGATCTGTATATTAGCACACCAAACCTCCAAATCATGTCTGTACGTTGTGGGTGTCTTAATTAACTGTTCTGTCTTTGAGCTCCCACAGCACAGCTAATACTTCTAAGAATTTTAAAATTAGCAGCAGAACATTAGATTAAGATTCACAAGGAACACATACTGCATTTTACATACGGATAAGGCATAGCTGGATTATTGCTGTAGTCATCTTTGGTTCGCCATCTTTCAGCTTTCTTTCCATTCACTGAAAACCTGGCCTCTTCTCAGATGCGACTTTTGAGAGAGAATTCATAACAACAGGCTTCCAGCTCAATATTATTGTCACTGCCCCAAGCTGTTTAGCGACTTTTCAGTTACTTATTACTGCTACTAATGACGTTGTGGTCTAGAGTTTGCAAAACTGGTTTTGCCAGATAATGCTATGCAGGGCAGATATAGGCTGAGGTCAGACATGCAGTTTGATCCGGTGTAGCCCCGCTTCTAATTGATCCAGGGTTGTTGTTTTTTGTAATGAAGAGTTTTGACCAGACATCAATCCTCTTCAATGTGCTTTCACCCCATGGCTGATTGATCATACACAGCAGCCATGGAGTGAGGCGGTGGGCATTTTAAACATCATTTGTCTTTTGAGCATGCACATAAGCGTTTATAGGAAGTAGCACTTCAAACTCCAGGCAGAATCGCGGCACCTGATGGCCAATGGGATTGCTGGAGGAGGCTGCAGGGATATGTAGTTCAGCAAGGGCGATGTGTTTTGAAAACTGCTTTTGATAAATTCAGCATTTCAAACGTTTCAAAGCTGGGGGGAGATAATAGATTTTTGAGAAGTTCCTGTGAGAGAGCGAGAGAGACAGAGACAGAAAGAGAGGTGTGAATATGCATTTATGTGTACCTTGCTAACTGCCTCACACACATAGCCACCTTAGTTCAGAGAAGGGATGGTTCAGCTGGGGGAGAGGGGGTGAATGCAGCAGATGGGGGGAGGGGTGACAAAACACACATGTACTGCTTGGTAGCATATAGCTGCTTATGCACACATCGGTAACTACTGCAACGCTCTCTACATGGGGCTGCCTTTGTCGCAAATCCGGAAGCTGCAGCTGGTGCAGAATGCTGTGGCCAGGCTGTTGATGGGTCTTCCTAGCGGGGACCACATCCAGCCTGTGCTGAAAGCGCTGCACTGGTTGCCAATAGCGTACCGGATTCGCTTCAAAGTGCTGGTTCTTACCTTTAAAGCCCTATATGGTCTGGGTCCAGCTTGCCTAAGGGACCGCCTTTCCTCATATGTTCCCCCACGAGCATTTCGGTCCGGGACGCAACACCTCCTGGCAATGCCAGGCCCTAAAGAGGCCAGGTTGGCCGCTACCAGGGCCAGGGCTTTCTCGGTGGTGGCTGAAAAGGGAACATCTGTGTCTCCCTGGAGCAGATGACACTGAGGAACAGAGTATGAGCAATACTAGCAATAGAGCAGTGAAACACGCCATCTGTGAAATAACATCTAGAGCACTTTGTTAATAATTGGTTGTAATGTTTATTTGCATAGTGATGGTTTTAAACTGGTTTTAAATATGTTTTATATTGGCGTATGCCCTTGTAAGCCGCCCTGTAGCGGGGAGGGCGGGGTATAAATTGAATAAAGTAAATAAATAAATAAATAAATAAATAAATAACTGGGGGGGGGGAGAATGGCAGCGAAACAGGAAGTGAGCAATTTGACTTCCCAAAAGGGTTCACCCCGCAAGAGTGCAATCAGACATCCACAGGAGTGCTGTGAAACTGGTAGGAGCCATAAAGACCAGACTTTCTGTGGTGTTGGGAAAGTCAGGGGTGAGCACAGGAGGCTGACGACTGCAGGACAGTAGCCAAATGTTGCTGTCTGATCAAGCACAGCAATGACAATGGATCCAAGTGCTCATCTGATCACACCCATAATCTCTCTGTTCCGAATATCAGTTAATTGTCGAGCTGGAATTTAAAGTCTACAATGTCACTTAAGCAACTGACATTTAAAACCCAGTACAAAAGAAATCCTAAGGAGGTCTATTCTACTCAGGTCTATTCAGCGGGGCTTGCTCCCAGGAAAGTACTCTTAGGATTGCACTGTAAATAACTTTTAAGAATTACACATTTAGTTTTTTCAGACTTGACTTAAAATATAGCCTGCTCCTGCCCTTCATACCCTTAGGGCTTCTTATCATAACATTCCTAGCCATGGGCTGGCTGTGCAAATATACAACAGCTAAGCAGCAGGTTTTAATTAAAGTGGCAGGAAGAGTATAGTAAGTACAGAAAAAATGCAATACAGGGTTTGAAATAAATAACTCAATTGTCAGTGAATGCTGGGACAATAACAAAATCAGAAGCAAATATTTTGTAAATTTAGGTGTTGCGGGTTTAGGATGGGTGCAAACTAAGAAGGAATAGAGAATCACGAGAAAGTTTCTTTTGTATACAATTTTATTTTTTATTTATTAGGATATTTATATCTCACACGTTCATTCCCCCAGTCATACGGTGACTGAAACTGTTATGGGAAAGCCTTGCCCCTTTTAGCTCTCATTTTCAATTCCTTTTCATCATATGAAACCAATACCTATGAATAGAAAGTCCCCACTAAATGCTCATTTGCATCACAACCAAGTTAATGGGCTGTATCTCAGACTAACTTCAATTCTCATGTGGACAGCTGTGCATAGCAACACTTATACGACAATTGTATGCAGTGTTATTCCAAATACATAGTTTGATATTGCAGTAATTCTGCAAAGGTTGGCACTGTTAGTCATATAGCCTTCCAAATTGCACTAATACACTGTTGGGAGTCAGTAACTAAGAGTCTGACCTTTCCAACTCAGAGAAAGACTTTCCCTCAAACCTTACTCTTTAGAATGCATTGGTGGTGCAAGAACTTGAAATAAAGACCTGATGTGGTTAAGTGAAGACTTGTATGTTTTATCCAGCCAATGGGCCAGACCACTTTGCTAAAGCTAAAAATCCACTGGGAGCATACCAGGATGGTGTGTTTTCATGGCCACTTAGTTAAATAAGTGTGTTTCTTTTTACTTTTCTTGGTTTCAGTTCCACCTTATTTAATAGAGCACAAGGTCACCAGCTGGAAAGTTACATCTTGAGATACTTGGCTGCAGCTATCTGCCATGCAGAGAGACCAGACGACCACACAACTTCCACATAAGTAGGACTGTTTGATACATCAATCCATTTCCCAATGATCAACCTACAAACTACTGCTGTGTACCAGAAGGACTGAACAATACGTATTTCACCGAAGTGTCCGCAAATCAGAAATCTCCAGATACTTAAGCAAGTGAAGATATATTCTACAGGAAAAACGTATAGCTACTGTAGAGTGTGGCTTGGAATATTTACACACACAGACACACAAACGAGTGCACACATAACAAATACAAAATTCTGCATATAATTATGCCCAGGAGTAAAGAACTAAGGCCAGAGGAGAAACTATTCCTCAAAGACATCTTGAAGCAACAGAACTGAACTTGTAAGAGCACGATTGCACAATAAATTCCTCCAGACAAACAGGGTCCTTGGGGGCTTCCACCAGATGACTACTTGCAAGTACCACTGCACCACAGGAAAACAAGAGACTTGCCCTACTCTGTAAATTTTAAAGGCCATCTTTTTTGTTTTTTAGGATGTTAAAATGGTTTAAAATTCTGCACAAAATACAAAAGAAGAGAAGGGAGGTATGCAGGCTTACCAGTAATCCGGTTTTCAATTTCCCCTTGCATTTGAAGGGAGTCCACATAAATAGTTTGGTTTCCAATTATTCGAGCACAAGCAACTCCCCTGTATGGTTGGCAAAACCCATCTTCGTGGTAATCTTCCCTGCAAAAAGATAAATTGACAGCTTGGTAAGTACATCTGCAGATGTCAATCTGTCCTTGATAAATTTCAAAGAACTATTTTTTTCCCAGGGGAAGGGGGAAGAGATGTGGTAAAACTGACATTTTTTATTCCTCCAGACACTGCTCTCTGACCTTTGTTTTACTTATCTGTGCTTTTGAAGCAATAAGGGCACCAGTGTTGTTGTTGTTTTTTATAGAGGGGGGATTTCCACAAAGTAAACGCAAGAGTTATAGTATAAATCCTATGCTAATGATAATGAGATGTGACAGGTGAGTCTACTAAAAAGCTGTTCTACCAAGACAGCAATATGTATCATGTTGCAACTTATAATACATTGCTGGCATCTAATGGCAGGCTGTACAATTAGGGATGCAGTTGTTTCTTTTCTCCCACCTCCTCTTGCAAGTCTTCATTTCCTGCAGGGAACAGCAAAACAAGTCTTGCCAAGATTTAATTAAAATATGGCATAATTCTGAACTATGACTTAGATAAACACAAAGAAAAGCAATCAGTGCATAACTTTCTCTCCCCTCCCCACTTAAACTTATGCCATTTTTTTTTCCTCCACAAAGCTGAATATATCAGCTGAATTATGTCTCAGTTTTGGATTGAACTTGTTTTAGAATTTAATTTTTTTTTTACCACCAATTCTTAACATGGCCCCATCTGAGGATACTTAAATCCAGAGACTGGGTCCATGGACAGAGAAGACAGATCTTTCTATAAACCTGAAAAAGCCCCAGGTTTGCAAATAAAATCTGAAATCTTTAAAAAGATACACTGGGGGTTAACCCCCCATATAACAGAAGCAGCACCTGTAGGTTTAAGAAATGAATGCCCTCAATGGCCATTGCTAGGTTATTCTTACAGTATTGCCCCCTTACACGCTTTGGTTTCTGTCTGCCAAAGTGGGGTGGGGGTAGGCAGGGCCCTTTCCAGGGATATTTTAGCCTACAGCAATCACAGGCAACTTGCTACCCATGCAGCTTGCATACTAAGCCAGAGCTGTCTGCTTACTACTGTTCAACAGCAACCACCCCACATAAACCAGTGGGGTATACGGGTTAGTTTCTGAATAAGATCTGAGGGGCTCCAGTTTGAATCTCCGCTCTGCCATCAAAGCTCACTGGGTGACCTTGGGCCAGTCATAGTCTCAGGCTGACATATCTCACAGGGATGGTGTGAGGATAAAATGGAGGAGTGGAGAATGATGTAAACTGCTTGTCCTTGCAGGTTCTCCACCATGCAACTAGACCCAACCTGGTGACTTGCCCCACATAACTGGGCCAGATTTTTCCCAGGGGAAGACCGTCAGGGGCAAGGAAGGAAAAAAAACCAGAAGTGTGTGTGGGGGACTAGAGGGAGGTTGACTGGTAGGTGGGAAGGAGAGAAGGAAGCAGGAAAGAGGGAGAGCCTATGGGGACTGCCAGGTAAGCGAAAGAGGAAATACTGGAGGAGGGGGAAATGATAATCCCCTTGCAAGTCTGCTGCTTGTATTATATATCAACTATCATTCAGTCATTCCAAAATGCCCAGCAACTACAGGCCAAACCATATGTGATGCTAGCGATCTTTGATCAAATGTGTATTGTAGAAATTAAAAAAAAACAAGTCAGGGAGGGGCTGGATCAGGATTATGGTGTTGGGAAAACTGTACCAGTCTTGTGTATGTGTATGTTCTAGGATTTAAATAAACCGAGGAGCGGGAGGAAAGGGATTTCCAATCAGGAAAACAGTGTGGGGGTAATAGTGGGCTGGTTTGCAGTGGGGCAGAGTGAAGAACAAACCAAGTGCATACTCCAGTTTCCTCTGTACTCTTGGAGATGCCACTAGGGTATGACTCATGAGCTGAGGTCACTACACTCACAGCATGTTGTGCCTGACAATGTTGCCAGACCTTCGAGTTCTTCCCTGATGAAGAGCTGCATGGGATTGTGCCATTCCTATCACTCCTTAGAATGGACTGTCAATCCACATCTGCCTTGCTTGACAGCCCCTACCATGCTTCACCTTCCTTACTGGCTGGACAGCCATCTGTCTTGGGTGGTACTACCTCCCAGCTGCCCACAGCCACACACAGCTCCACCTTCCTCACTTCAGGTCCTGGCTGTTTCTATGGCTTCCATGCCACCCTCGGTCCTTCTCCTTAGCATTTATAGGCACTAAGCACGCACTTCTCATGATGCAAGCCTGGCCGCAATCACAGAATTGGAAGGGACCTCCAGGGTCATCTAGTCCAACCCCCTGAAAAATATAAGAAATTCACAAATACCTCCCCCTCCACACCCACAGTGACCACTCTTCCACTCCCAGAATATGACAAAAACCCTCCAGGATCCCTGGCCAAAACTGGCCTGGAGAAAAAGTGCTTCCTGACCCCAAAGTGGCCATCAGCATTTCCCTGGGCATGTAAGAAAGGGCCACAAGAACTAAGCACTGATCTGCCTAAGTTCATACAATCAGCATTGCTGTCAGATGTCCATCTAGCCTCTGTTTGAAAACCTCCAAAGAAGGAGAGCCCACCACCTCCCGAGGAAGCCTGTTCCACTGAGGAACAGCTCTGACTGTCAGGAAGTTCTTCCTAATGTTTAGCTGAAAACTCTTCTGATCTAATTTCAATCCGTTGGTTCTGGTCCAACCTTCTGGGGCAACAGAAAAGAACTCCGTATCATCCTCTATATGACAGCTCTTCAAGTACTTGAAGATGGTTTTCATATCACCTCTCAGTAATCTCTTCTCCAGGCTAAACATACCCAGCTCCTTCAACCTTTCCTCACAGGACTTGGTCTCCAGACCCCTCACCAACTTTGTTGCTCTCCTCTGGACACGTTCCAGCTTGTCTATATCCTTCTTAAATTTTGGTGTCCAAAACTGAACACAATACTCTAGGTGAGGTCTAACCAGAGCAGAGTAAGGTGGTACCATCACCGCGTGATCTGGACACTATACTTCTGTTGATACAGCACAAAATCGCATTTGCCTTTTTAGCTACTGCATCACACTGCTGAAGTATGGTCTACTAACAGCCCTAGATCCTTTTCACACATACTACTACCAAGATAAGTCTCCCCCAACCTATAATTATGTATTTGATTTTTCCTGCCTAAATGCAGAACTTTACATTTATCCCCA